ATTTTATTTCAATTGGGAAAATTTATTTATATTTCGCTTTATATCGCGAGATATTTTTTTTTCTTTTCATCAATTTATAAATTCGTTCCCCCCTCTCCCTCGTTTCTTCATTTACATTGATAAAAAGTTTATCGTATCTCTATATTTCTATCGATATATTCGATATATATATATATATATATAATTTTCTCAAAATTATTAAAGCAAACAAGCCGACAAATTCGCGCATTCGTGTCGCGTTCGAAATTTGACAAAAGCCAGCCGACCAAATAAATTTCGCAGGGGATACAAAGTTGCAGCGGCCTCCTTACTTCACAGGGGCTCACACTCTACGTGTATCCGTGAAACCGTGTCGCGTTTAGGGGATCCACCGTGTATATACGTGTCTCTGTGTCCACAACGAAACCATCAGAAACTCGGTCAAGGAGCATCGAGGAAAACACTCGGTTACGCTCGCGTTGTGAAACGAGTTTGAGTAGGAGAGAAGTGGGTACTTTAGACTCGTTTAGGTTCCTCCACGTTGCTCCCTTTCTCGTAATATTCTCCTCCTCCCCCGCCCCCCCTCTCCCGAATATCCACAACAGAGTCGCAACGGCAGCGTTTTCGCGCAACCACCCGTTCTTCATTTTTCGGCCTTGATCGCCCGCTTCGTTTAATTTTCGTCGGGGTATCCTTCCACGATGGAACAATTTTTTTTCGAATCCTTCTAGGGGAATAAAATCGGAACGCGTTTATCGCGCGATAATAAAGCTTTCGGGCGATAAATGTAGCGTGAATTAATAGAGACAAATGGTGGATTCCTTTTTTTTTTACGTCGTGACGTAGGAATCTTCTAGGTGAAAAATGGTAGATGGATAGATATAGGTTAGATCAAGGATATATATATATATATACTTGGATTTGCTTGTTTTTTTTTTTATATTTTATTGAGTTTCTTTTGAACCTGTCGTTGATGAGTTTTTCTTATTTGAGAGTATTTTAATTTGCAGCATACTTCTTATCGAGATTGTAATAAAAATTCGATGTGAAAATTAATAATTATTTAATCCGGCAAATTATACATTAAAAATTTGAAATGTAAAACAGAAAGAAATTTGTCTTTCCTTTAATTTTTTAAAGTTTAAGATAGAATAAAGAATTCTTATATCTATATATAATTATGAGTCAACTGTATAATTCTTAATTGAAGAAATATGCGAAATTTTGAAATGTTAAACAGAAAGTAATTTGTCTTTCCTTTAATTTTTTAAAATTTAAGATAGAATAAAGAATTCTTATATCTATATATAATTATGAGTCAATTGCATTCTTAATTGAAGAAATACGAAATTTTGATATAGAATAATTTTCAAATTTCATTCATAATTGATGTGAAAATTAATAATACATATTTAATCCGGCAAATTATACATTAAAAATTTGAAAAATGTAAAACAGAAAGAAATTTGTCTTTCCTTTAATTTTTTAAAGTTTAAAGTAGAAATAAAAATTCTTATATCTATATATAATTATGAGTTAATTGCATAATTCTTAATTGAAGAAATACGCGAAATTTTGAAATGTGAAACAGAAAGAAATTTGTCTTTCTTTTCATTTTTTAAAGTTTAAGATAGAATAAAGAATTCTTATATCTATATATAATTATGAGTCAATTGTATAATTCTTAATTGAAGAAATATGCGAAATTTTGAAATGTTAAACAGAAAGTAATTTGTCTTTCCTTTAATTTTTTAAAATTTAAGATAGAATAAAGAATTCTTATATCTATATATAATTATGAGTCAATTGCATTCTTAATTGAAGAAATACGAAATTTTGATATAGAATAATTTTCAAATTTCATTCATAATTGATGTGAAAATTAATAATAATTTAATCCGGTAAATTATACATTAAAAATTTGAAACGTGAAACAGAAAGAAATTTGTCTTTCCTTTAATTTTTTAAAGTTTAAAGTAGAAATAAAAATTCTTATATCTATATATGATTATGAGTCAATTGTATAATTCTTAATTGAAGAAATACGCGAAATTTTGAAATGTGAAACAGAAAGTAATTTGTCTTTCCTTTAATTTTTTAAAGTTTAAGGTAGAAATAAAAATTCTTATATCTATATATAATTATGAGTCAATTGCATTCTTAATTGAAGAAACACAATCCTTTTGATATAGAATAATTTTCAAATTTCATTCATAATTTATGTGAAAATTAATAATACGTATTTAATCCGGCAAATTATACATTAAAAATTTGAAATGTAAAACAGAAAGAAATTTGTCTTTCCTTTAATTTTTTAAAGTTTAGAATAAAAAATTCTTATATCTATATATAAAATTATGAGTCAATTCTTAATTGAAGAAATTTCCTCATAATTAAAAAAAATACAATCTTAATAGAACATCACGATATAACGAAATTACCGTTCGAAGGATAAATATTCGAAGAAGATGTCGAATTAATCGTACGCAGATCTCAGATTCGTCCGCATCACCTCTCCAACAAAGCAACACGTCGTGAAACGGATCGAGGAACGGTATTATTTTCCAAACGGAAGAATAGGTAGGATGTCATGCACGTTACAATTGGACCGAGTAATTATCTGGTTCCGTTCGTGTGCCAGCGAGGAGCAAGGGTGTACGCGAGGTTGGGGTGTTAACGAACCGGACAATGAGTAGTCACGGTTCGTTAGATACTCAACAACCAAATAATTAGCAAGTGCATTTCGGATCCCCCGCGCGACTGGATTTTGGACATTGCGTCGCTCCTTTGTCAAATTCCGTTTAACGTAACGATTCTTCGCGTTTCTTTGTCCCGTCGCGCTTTCGATATTACGTATTTCACGGCAACGTGAATATATAGTTTTCAAAAACTGTTTTCAAAACGAAGCTATCGACTATTATTGCATCGATGAACAAAAGCATCGACAACCACGTAATATCCATATACAATGGATACATCTTCTTCGAATATTTATCCTTCGAACGGTAATTTCGTTACATCGTGATGTTCTATTAAGATTGTATTTTTTTTAATTATGAGGAAATTTCTTCAATTAAGAATTGACTCATAATTTTATATATAGATATAAGAATTTTTTATTCTAAACTTTAAAAAATTAAAGGAAAGACAAATTTCTTTCTGTTTCACATTTCAAATTTTTAATGTATAATGGAAATACGAAACGAGGGAAGAATACCTCTTTGCAACAATTTTTTCTTCTTTTTTTAAAAATGTTCCATCTTGATCTTCGCCTTTTTTTTTTTTTTTTTTTAGAAATTAAGGTATTATTAATTCGTAACAATTGGAAGAACGAATGCATCTTAGTGTATAATCTAGCGATTGTTTAAATATTTCAAAGTGTTTTTAAATAGGAGATAAAATTCTTGAACCTGCTCGATTCGAACTTTCTGCGAATCCCTAATGAACGATTCAGATACGTAAACTCGTAATCCGTCATATCTGTCCCTATTGCTAATTAAAATCTCTTGTATCTCCTCGTCGAAACTAAAATTGGTTAATCCGATTTCCAGTGAAATTCCTCTGGAAAGTCTAATGAAAATCTGACCGGGGCATTTGCGAAACGCTTGTTTCGCCCACAGGGTACACCACGGGTAACCCCCGTAGAGAATCCACGCGATACAGAATTGGAAAGTGTGTTGTTTATGAAACTATCTCTATTCACCAAAGTAGTTCCAAAGTTTTGGAAAATTTCATATCACGCCATGTCTGAGATATATTATACCCCGCGCAACAACGGATTACTTCCTTGTTTGTTTCGTGATTCATCGCTCGATTACAAGAGTACGATGTTTGATTTCATTGGTAAACGTATATTTTTAGAGAGAAATTGTTTACTATCCTTTGAACGATATTTAAATAATACAGGCACGTTTTCGATGCAAGTAAAATAAATTTATAAAATTTATAAAACGATTTATCGATTTATCTTATCAATTATTTCTAACAATTTTTTCTTCTTTTTTTTAAAAGAAATGAAGATTAAATGGTTAAAGATTAAATGAAGATAAAATTACAACACATTTAACATCTTGATCTTTTTTTTCTTTTTAGAAATTAAGTTTCGTAACAATTGGAAGAACGAATGTATCTTAGTGTATAATATAGCAATTGATTAAATATTTCAAAATGTTTTTAAATAGGAGATAAAATTCTTTAACCTGCTCGATTCGAACTTTCTGCGAATCCTTAATGAATTCAGTACATAAAGTACGTAAATTATATCGAATAAATGATACGAAATGTGCAATTTGTTAAAAATTAAACTGAGCTGTTACTATTATTATTATTATATCCAAGAATATTATTATCCTGGCATTTTATATTTCTCGAGCAATTTTCTTCGAGATATATTTAAATACCCGACATCTCTATTTTCCGTGTTTAATTTCACCCGAACGAGCGAGCCATCTTGAACAAGAAAATTCCGGGTCACTCCGTGAACTGAATTCCTAAACTACATCGCAAAAATGAAATATACCATGCAAATGAATCTGCATTACGGTGAAACGTTTTTCTTCAAGAGAGCGTTCAAAAGGGGAAGTTTCGAAACTTCGTTTGCCCGGGAAAGGTTATAAAGAGTTTAAAATGGCCGGTATTAAACAAAATGCTGACGCGTTGAGAAAGTGACGTACTACTATCCTGAAGGCAGGGAACGTTCAAGGATGAGGAGGGAGATATCAAGTGTGGGTTTATGCAAGACAAGCGTTTCGCTGCATAATTTCAGTCTTAAAGTGCACTTTATTAAAATAATAACTCCGTAGAACGGAGTTACGTGATTCGTGAATAGAAACCATTTGAAAGATTACATTTATCATTGAAAAAGATCCATCCATTTATTGCTTCGAACGAGACTTATAAAAAAAAATATATGTATATATATATATATATATTTACTTATATTTATATTATTTATATCTTATAATATAACTTATTAATTATTGTTTATTAGATATACATAATTGTATCACATCCATTTCAATACTAATCTTACTTCATTCTCTTTGGTATAAAAATAAATATGTTTTTTGAAAACATCTGAAAAAGAAATAGAACGAATAGATTTAGATTCGCCAAAAAAAACTTTTTAACCTTTTTTAATTTCCTCGAAAATTATTCACCATTTTTCGAAAAGAGATTCTTAATTTTCGAACGAAATTATCTTATATAAAAAAAAAGAAATTTACCTTTGGTCTTTACATTCTCCAATCCCCCCCTCTCAAAAAATTCTCAAAATATCTTAAATTTGTCAAAATCGATGGCTGCCAGGAAATCTCTGTGCGCTTGAGTGGCCATCGGCACCGTGATCCCCGTGTCCAACTTAATATTTAACTGTTGCTCCATACTGAAGGAAAAATTCGACAGATTCTCCTTATTGCTACCCTCGCGTTTGCACCTCCTATCCCTTCTCTGCCGCGCGGAGGGGATGACACTTTTAACCGTTCTCTCCGCCAATTCCCTTTGACCGTTATTATTATTATTGTTCTGTTCTCGCAAAGGTATCTCGAATTCGCGCACGCTCGATCTGAACCGGTGCAATATAAGCTTCTTCGCGGGCAACTCGAGCGAGAAGGACGAAACAGTGGAGTCGGAAACTTTCGTCCGTTTCACGTTCTCTTCCTCGTTCGTGGACACGGTCTTTTCGATGTTTTGCTCGGACGAGATCTCGATCTTCACCGTTTCACTCGCCTCGCCCTTCTCGGGCATCGCTCTGTCGATCGCGCTCGAGGCGGTGGACAAACGCCCCAACCATCGGGACTTCAATCGTGGATCGGTGATGAAACTTATCAAAGGTATGTTCTCTATATCGAACTCTCTGCAACTCACCGAATACTCGTAGCTTACTTTCGTTCTCAACTCCTCTACGTGATCGTTCTTACGGATACTGTTCGACGATCTCAATCTCATGTTGTACGATTTCCCCATTATTTGCCTCGGCCACTTGGAACAGTGTTGATCGGCCGGCAACGCGTCGTTGTTCACGATTTTGTACTTGGTCCTCGATGTGATCGCGTGAGTTCGCGACTCTGGATGGCACAGCTCGCAGTGGACGTAATAGTCTCCTTTCGTGAAGAAAGTCTCGCCTGTAAGTAGGGGATTTCAATCAATTTCTTCACCGTTAATATATATATGTTGAACAGAAATATTAATATTAATTATATTATATATAATATATTTATATTTAATAAAAGAGTTAATATTAAATTAGTAAGTTAATAGAAAATTTAGATTTCTATAATATATTTTCAAGATATATACTTGTTCAAGTTCATTAACTTTAAAATTTAGAGTATTTATTTATAGGAATTTCAAATTAGATTATCTCATATTTTTCTTGAATAAAATATTAAGAAGAAATATAAAAAATAGGTTGTTGTAAAAATTATGTTAATATTTGTAAATGGATATTCAATTAATTGTTTTCCTAATCATGTTAATATAATAAAGTTATTAAAAAAAAATCAATAATAAATTTTATTTAATAGATTAAATTTATTGTTTATTAAATTATTTTTATAAAGAATAGTAATATATAAAATTAAAATTGATATTACTAATCCAATTACTCCTCCTAATTTATTTGGAATTGCTCGTAAAATTGAATATGCAAATAAAAAATATCATTCAGGTTTAATGTGAGTTGGAGTATTTATAGGATTTGCAATTTTGAAGTTATCCGGATCACCTAAATAATATGGATATTGAAGGTTAATTAATATAAAAATTAATAAAATTAGATAAAATCCTAATAAATCTTTAATTGAAAAGTATGGATGAAATGTAATTTTATAATTGTTATAATTTGATCCTAAAGGGTTTGAAGATCCTGTTAAATGAAGGGCAAATAAGTGTAAAATAATTATAAATAAAATGATTAATGGAAGAATAAAATGTAAAATGTGTATCGTTCGATCTTGCGTTGTTATAAGTTGTAATCTCGTGCAGTTGTAAATTCCTCGTTTTTGAATAATAGATTAAATTGGAGTAATTATTTAATTAGCAAGATATATTTGTAATTTTAATCCTGGTCAATATATATATACATATATATATATATATATATACATATACGTATGTATATTTAAAGTTGCAGCAGGAAGTGAAGGATTTTATTTCTTTTTCGAACGAAGAATCGTTATCTGGCACGAAGGTAATTTATAATTTATGGAAATTGAATAGAGTGACTCGAAACAAACCGTGATATGTCTTTAAAATTTTTTTGAAAAAGAAAATTCTCGTACAACCTGCATCGTTTCGATTCATTATTCAAACTGCCATTATTTAAAAATATTTAAATTTAAAATAAAGGTGGGATAAACTTAAAATAATATGGACTCAATGTACGTTTTAATATATAATTTTTTTCAAAATATTTTTATAGAAATGTAAGAAATACTTTACATCGAAGTGAATCGGTTCTATCTATTTTTCTAAATATCTTCACCAACGATGGATCAAAATAATCCCGACTTGTGTCGTATCCACATTGATTATTTTCTCAAAGAGAATTTTTTTTCGAAAAAGAAGAACAACTACTATTGATATGTTTTAAAAAAAATAATATTTTTGGAGTCCGATATCCGATTAAATTTATATTCCGATCGAAGAAATTCGAATCGATTTAAAATTAAAAGTCAACAAAGGAGCAGATGAACGAATTCCTACCCCTAAACACTATCTGTAGGCGAAATAAATTCGCGTATCGACTCTTTGTCGTGCCAACTTTTGTGCAGTGCATCGTTGTGTGAGGTCGTAGGTGATAATAAAGGCCCGCCACCAATACGGCCAAAACCAGAAATCGTGAAAACGTAATTGAAACCAGGAGATTCGGATTGTTATTAGAGAGTGCTCCAGAAATATAAGGGTGGCGCGTTTATCTGACAAACAACAAAGAACGCGTGGCAATATGGTGTCTTCGGATCGAGGATCGAGGATAGGTTCGGTTTATTTAGAGCGTAGCGAGATAATAAGAACCGATCTTGGAAATAAGAGACGAAGATTGTGTATATTAAACGATCCCTTCTCTCGACTTTCCACCGAGCTTTCGTCTGCTCGATACTTTTGCTATTTTACGCGTGCACAATGTATTCTCTAGTATTTACAAGATTATATAGAGTGTTGAGCCATAGCGATATCACCAATGGTATAATATTTAGTGACACTTATAATAGAAGTCATTTTGAGATTAAGAAAATTTGATAAGAGGAGAGGTAAATAAATTTTTTAATCCAGTTAATAAATTATGAGGAATTCAGAACAGGTGACTGATTTAAACTTTTGACATTATTGAAGATAATGATGATAATGAAAATAATGAAGATAAGATGATTAATTATAAATTGAGAATTATATTATAGCATAATCGAATTAATGAAAAATTACTCGTCTCGGATATTTTAAAAGTCAAACTCAAGATCAATTTTTATGAAATCAATCTGTTTTCAACAACAATTCTTTTGAAACAATTCTTAGTAATTAGAATATCACTTCTAATATAGGTGACAGAATGAGATGAATAATTTTGACAAGTGTATAATTACCGCAACAAATGTTTAATTTTTGCCTCAAATGAATCCTTTCGTTGTGCCTTTGCACGTTGTATTGTCGAGGGCTTTCGTATTTGCAACCACTGCAAGTGTACATCGTCTTCTCTTTTTTGTTACGTCCTTTTCGTGTCGAGACAACATCTCTGTTTTGATAACTGGAATTTCATATTAATTGTCATCAGAAAATCCGAAGAATTTCGCAATGATGAGAGAAAAGAATTGATTCGTCAATTTGAGTAAAAGTTATTTTAAAAGAAATTTATTGTAAATCACGGAGGATAGGATTTTTTGAAATTTACAAATACAATTTTTTGAAGTTCACACGATACGATAAATAGGTGATAGAAAAAAAAGAAAATAGGAAAATTGTCATAGAAAATTCCAGAACGTGTAACATAATTTCACGAAACGACACAAAAGATAAAGGAAAATAGATCGAATTTTCGAGTAAAATAAAAGAGAAATAAGACAATTATTTCCTTCGTTTCCATTATAAATTAATGGAAAAACGCTACAAATAAATTGTACTATAATGACATTTTGCAATAAGCTGAGGAATTTAACAAAAATTAAAGAAAACCAGAAAAAGTGTCACGAAAGACACTTCGAAAACTTCGCATCAATAACACTTTCATCGTGCAAGAAAATACAAATAAATAGCAAACACTAGATCCGAGAGTTTATTTAAAATCAAAAAAAAAGGAAAATAATTTTCTTCGTTGACACGATCGATTTTCAACACGTGCATCGATGTTGTTACAAGTCCTGGAAACTTTCGAGCAAAAATCCGTTAGAACGTCATCGACTCCATTACCACGTGACAAAGAACCGGTACCACGTACGCAGTCAATTATCGATTAATCGTACAAAAAACAATACGAAACACTAAAAAAAACCACCACGATATAATTTGCACGCGCGTAATCACATCGTATGATCGAATGACAATGAAAAAATTCGAAATATACTCAAATTGAAACGATCGAGCGAACAACACTGAACATTTTATCGAAATATGTTTAACAAAAGGACGATAATAATAATTAATAAAATGAGAATTCTCACATGTCGATCTCTTTGCTGATTCTCATTATTTATAATGGAAAATAAATAAAATAAGGAGAAATCGCGAGTATTTGTTGCCTTGTTTGACACTCGAAACTTTAACGATGCTTTCGGGACACTTACCAATGACGAACTGAAGCGGCGCTAGGAAACTTCAAAGGGAAGGATCATTTGTCAGTATCGATGCCGAACGCTCGGTCAAAAGGCGGTATCCTCTAATCCATCCGTCCCCTTTGTGTTCATCGCACTTTGTTTTGACTTCGACCAATATAAATTATCGCGAGTCTTTTCTTTAACAACGTGTCTTCGTTCGAAAAATTAAGGAATAACAAATGGGGATCTGACGATCTACCGGAATTTTTTATTTAATCTGTCTCTTCATTTTTATCATCGATTATCTTTTCGATTTCGAGGTTAATTTAATAAATATGGAGTAATTGGAGTTGAATTATCGATCGTAAGAGATCAATTATTCAAACAAAAAATTAATTCTCAATTTTTCAATTTTCAACGAGCGAGTTTCTCCTCTTGGAGTTTGCCTCTTGCATGGATTAATCCATACAATATAACCTGAAATGGAGTTTTTCGGAATTTTAGTTACAATTTTAATTTTAATTTTAATTTTCTTCTTTTTATTAAAATTTAATGATATCTTTTATTCATGAAAATTTCTATGAATTTTTTACACCCATGGAAATAAAGAGCAGACGTGTTAAAAATTGTATTAAAAAAAAGTCTTCGTGTATAAAAAGATTAAAGAAGATTACGATATATTTAACTTAGAGAATGGATATTAACCCCTTAGGGCCAAATTTTTTAAACGATGACAGCAAAATTCTCATAGAAACACATCTTCTCGCGATGTTTTTATAAAAAAAAAAAAGAAAGAAAGAAAGAAAGAAAAAGATATAACCTGTTAAAAATTCAGGTTTATTTCCCCTTCCCTCCCAAAAAATAATTAATCACTCATTATTAATTAAATTACTATATTGCAGGTACGTAACTTTGACGGGATTAAGCGTAGAAAAATTTTCCAAATTTTCCCCGTATGAAATAAGAAAGCGAAATAAGCAAATTTGCTTACACAAGGAAACGGCAGAGCGGCAAGTTTCTATTTGCATTTCGATAACATTGAATGTTCGATGTATCGGCAATGTACATTCCCGAAACACTTTCAGTGTCGTTCGGTCAGGAGACGCTATGCATTTTAAGCGGTAACCTATCGGCCAAGAAGCTTTACAGAGCGAATTTCGATAGGGCAGCGCGACGTTCGAATAATAATCAGCGTTAATTGCAGACGTGCACAATGGCCCCCAGTCTATGCACCGCGCTTACGAACGTCTTAAAAGTCTATTCCCTTACGAATCGTAAACGAATTCAATTTAATTTTATCGCTCTTTAAATATGTAGCTCTCGTTAACGATTTAGAACGTCATCAAGAATGATTGAAATAAAAGAAGGAAAAAGTTGAACCATCTTTTTGAAATGATTTTAACTTCAAATTATTTCGCAGGATATATTTTATTTTTTTCGATATATATATGAATAATTCATTTAGAAAAATTAAAAAATCTTGTACAGATTGATCCAGTGTGGAAATTTTACATTTAGATTTAAGATAGATTAATATTAGATTCACTTGTATCTATAAATATGATATAAATTACATGTATACGTGAATGGAAATTATTATAACAGAGATAATATAAATTTGAATATAGAAAGTATTGCAAAAGTTATTGCAAAACTTTTGGAAACTTTTGGATCTTCCATTCAATGTAAATTGTTTTAAAAATTGTTCGATAAATCGAAGGAATAAGAATCCTGTGTCTAAGAAAATAGTATTTCGCGTGTTTGCTATTACTCCAATACAAAATTCTTGGAAATAGAATCAAAGATTCCCACACTTCTAGTATGTTAAATCAGCACTGTGAACGCCGCAAATTTTCTCAATTAGAGTGCAATGAGACAGGATCCCATAAAATAACTACTGGTCGAACAAGACCGAGTTTCACTGTTGGATGTATCTGGACGATTATATCGCGGTTGGTGCATCGTGGGTTGTAACTAAGCTCCTCGTAAAAAGTGAACTGCCCGATCTTGAGAGAAATACTTCTGGCCAAGAGAATCCTGCAACCGGCCACTGAACCCACGACCTCGAGAGTCAAATACTCCACGAAGATGCGATACGAGTCGCGAAGATGTATCCACCTCGTAAAAACTGGACCCCGAGCTAGCTTTCCTAGGTACACAACGTACACTTGCGTGGCGACTTAGAATTGCGCAAGTCTTGTGAAATATACGCCGTTGTTGGCGATCTTGTTCTTGATCGATGCTGGACACTGCCTTGAACAATCATTTTCCACAGTTTAAATTTATTTTCTTAAAGTTTAGTGGAGTTTGCTGGTGCTCTCGCTTTTTAATTTGAATTAGAACAGAAAATTGATGAATAATATCACTAAAAGAGTTAGGAAAATTAGGAAAAAGAAAAGAAAAATATTGAATTAAAGATATTTGAATTAATATTGTTAATAGGATTAGTAGGATAGAATTTGTTTTCACAATTTTATAACAATGTGAATGATTGAAAAATGAAAGAATTAGTGCAGAAAATTAATGAATAATATCATTAAGTGTTAGGAAAAAAAGATATTGAATTGAAGATATTTGAATTAATATTATTAATAGGATTAGTAAGATAGAATTTGTTTTTACAAATTTATGACAATGTGAATGATTAAATAATTGAAAGAATTAGTGAGAAAAAGAGATGAATAATATCACTAAGTACTAGGAAAAAAAAAATTGAATTGAAGATATTTGAATTAATATTGTTAATAGAATTAGTAGGATAGAATTTGTTTTCACAATTTTATAATAATGTGAATGATTGAATAATTGAAAGAATTAGTGAGAAAAAGAGATGAATAATATCACTAAGTACTAGGAAAAAAAAAATTGAATTGAAGATATTTGAATTAATATTGTTAATAGAATTAGTAGGATAGAATTTGTTTTAACAATGAGAATGATTGAAAGAATTAGTGGAGAAAAAGAGATGAATAATATCACTAAGTATTAGGAAAAAAATATATTAAATTGAAAATATTTAAATTAATATTGTATTGTATAATAGGATTAGTAGTATAGAATTTGTTTTTATAATTTTATGACAATGTGAAATGATTGAAAAATGAAAGAATTAGCGTAGAAAATTGATGAATAATATCACTAAGTGTTAGGACAAAAAGATATTGAATTGAAGATATTTGAATTAATATTGTTAATAGGATTAGTAGAATAGAATTTGTTTTAACAATTTTATGACAATGTGAATGATTGAAAAATAAAAGAATTAAATTGAAAAAATTTCTAGAAATATCTCCTATCGATTTTAGAGACTTTTTTCCCCGAATCGATGTAACACAATTATGTCGAGATCTTTCCACATAGCGTTTATCAAGTAGCTAAGGAGAAACGTCTGATTTCCCAAGTGAGTTTACAATATCTGGAAACAAGTACAGATGTACATACGCTTTGCAGAATTTACTTGGTTCACTAGGAATTCGATATCATTGTTGCATATTTATTTATTCCCAGTTTCCGCTTGTTTCACGCTTCCTTATCACTGTATAACTCAAATCTTTATCGAATTGTTATCGTCTGTTGTGATATTTCGCGTATAATTTCATTTCGAAATTATTATCCACTAATTTAAATCTCCAAATTTCTCATTTGAAAAAATTATAAATCTGGATATTTCTTAGATTCTTTTTTAGCGTTGTCAAATATTTCTAATTAATTATTATTTAAATGTTACAGTAAATACGATTCAAAGAGAAATTTTATACAAAAATTAATCTAATTTTTTAAACGAGAAGAGTAATTAAATTATGTAAAAGTACTGGAAATACAGAAACGTTAGGAAAAGCTTATAATTTTTAACAAAAGAATATTAAGTGATAAAGTTGTAACTTATAATATAATAAAACGTAATGATATTCCTCGGCTATATTTTAGAGTTAAAACCGCCTCGTATCTCTTAGGAATATATCCTCCACAACTTTGAGAGTTGTTTCAGACCCTTGGGATTCCCGTACAAAAACCTTTTACTGCTTTTCGAAAGATCCCTGCATACAAAATCGTTACATAAGTTATTAATTATTCTGTTCGATCGTGAAACATTTATAATTCACAGATCAAATAAATATTTCATTATAAATTCTTCAGGGAATCAAGAGAGTGAAAAGAGCAACGATTTCGTAAGAAACTTTTGAATTTTGAGTCCTATATACATCTCACGAGTATCATTGTATCTTTTATTTAAAAAAAGGAAAAAAGGTATTTACAACAAACATCTCCATACTTTCTCGTTAAAAATTAAAATATATATATATATCAATAGCTTTAATACCATTCAACAGATCAAGATTTTCAATTCTTCGTATATCTCCTCATCTTAACTTTTATTCTTCTCTCTCTTCTTTTAAAAAATAAAATATACACAAGTGCTACATCTTCGATGTTAAAAAATAATTCACCAAAACATTCATCTTCGATGTTAAAAAATAATTCACCAAAACATTCATTCTCTTTTTTCTTCTGCGCCCATAAATAAATCCCAAGATCTTGATAAACGTCTCAGTTACAAGACACGATTCCAAAAAAAAAAAAGAAGGAAAAGAGCGGCATCTCCCAAGTTTATTTCATCAAGGCCAAGTTGAAAAGAAGGGATATTAATTCGGCTACGTAGAATCGTTCATTTTCCACGAGAGAGTGGAGATTTTTCGAGAGTGGACGCGTCGCGGCGAGGGTAGGAAAGAATTATTATGCGAAAAGTTCGTGCCCCTCGTTTCTTCCCTGATGGACGATTAAAACTTGCGGCGTCGAATTTACAAATTCCTTGGGGGTGTTCGCGGTGGCGGGGGGCATTAGTTCGCCTCGGCTGGCCACCTTAACCGAGCCCTACCATTACCGACCTCGAATTAGAATTTAAATCTGCGGAACGGCTCGCTCGTAATGGCTCGATTTCTTTCGTCACGGTTACGCGGTTTGCTAACCGCCCCGGGACACTCGACAGCTCGTCTTCCTCTTATTCTTCCTCTCCTCTCTTTTTTTTTCTATCCCAAGCCCGTCACATGATACGAGCGTGTGACTGTTGGATAACCATGTATTTAACGAATCTGCGACATGATATTGATTACGCGACAATACGAACGAAACGTGTATTCATTTCAATTTAATTTTCATCGCTAACAATCTTTTTATATGCTTTATTACTAATTTTGCTTAGTAGGGGAGATTGAATTTTTGCAAGAAATAGATAATTTAATGGTGAGATTATTGAATTTCTTTTGAATCGAAATTGATTAAATTTATTTTCATTATTATGTTATAGACAAAGAATTGTATAACAAAATTTTTATAACGAATAAAGCTTGCAAACAGTTATTGAATTAAGCATAGAATAACAAAGTGTAATAATAATAAAAATTATTATGAAAAAAATAAATTCATATTATATTTTTTGTTCTTTTTTTATATTTGTAATTATTTGCATACAAAATATCTCGTAAATACAGGCAACATCGCGTAACTGATATCGAATCGCGAGATGTCTCACGATGCGAAAGGCTTAAACCGAACGCTTTCAATTCGATGAGAATCGCGTTAATATTGGCCGATGGAGGACACGAGGCGTTAATATTTCGGAAGCTCTTCCGGTGCCACGTACGAACATGTACATATTTAAGCGGCTTATAGTTCAACCGGTTTTCGCGATGGTAATTGGTTTATCGGCAAGATTAATAGCAACCATGCCAGTGCAGGATGAGCTTCTGGCCGAAGGAACAAGGTCAGGCATTACATAATTCTATTCATTTTGTATGCACGTTAGAGAGATACGAATTATCAGCGAAATTTTGATGATTAAGTCTGATCTGTTCGACATAATAGACGTAGATTAAGAATTAAAGACAGGAAGAGGAGATTGAAATATTCGTATCTTTTCATTTTTCTATTCTATGATATTAGAGTTTGATTTAATGTTATAGAATTTTAAATCGTGATTAAAATGTTAATTCTATCCCGTAGAAGATTAATTTTTCATAATCTTTCGTGAACGCTGTTTATTGTATTATTTTTGTTAAAGAAAAGTATGAATTTAAGAAAAGATGATAATAGAATTATCGGACGAAACGAGCCGAAAATAGATGAATAAATAATTACGTTTGATATCGATACAAATCCATTCGTCGTATTAAAATTTTATTTACCGAATAAATTTAATAATACATTGCGCTATGAAAATGTATTTTCGTATTCTAAAGAGTTATTAACCGAATCACCAATATAATCAGAATATTATTCAATTTATTGAACAAATTAAGTATTAATCCGATAAAATATGCTTGATATTGATACATTATATAAGCATTATTTGCATATTTTACCTCGTATTATATTATACTTGGAGTAAAATAATTATTATTTCACGTCACTCGTTCAAAAAATAAATTAAAAACAAATTAAGAGTTGCAAAGTAAAAAATTATGTTTTTACTTTATCGCTCCAAATTATACAAAACTAAATATTTCTCCAATATAAAATACTTTTCGAACTACGCTTTCAATATCATCGTTTCTGTTTCCAGATCATCCAGAATGCCTCCCATCTTCATCAATCATGGAAACCGGACGTAACATATAAAATCAAAACTTTAATTCGCGTACAAATTCATTCGGCGCGGGTATAATGAGCGGGCGCATGCGCGTCGAGTGTTTCGGTGGCGCTCGCGAGGGTTCGTGATCAGTCGGCGGCGCCGCGTCGCGGGGTGGGGATACGCCGGTCGAAGGGATAGATAGCGTAGTCGCGGTCCGATGGACGAGCCGCGTGGAGGGACGAGAGAGGGTGCGGAGTCCGCGTGTCGTTGACAGCAGCGGCGGCTAGCAAGCCTCGCTTAAGCGTCGCTCGACAGTCGAAGCCGGTCTCTCGGCGTGCGAGTATCGAGAGTATCGCGAAAGGGTTCGTTCGAGTTCCGTTTTCACTCGGCGACGCGAGCTTGTCACCTGTCAACCTTCGCTCGTCGCGAAAGAAAGTTCGAAGTCGACCGAGACTTAACCTCTGCGTTTAAATCGAGTTTCCTTATCGTGTGTGTCGCGCTAAAGAACCATCGAGTTCTCGATCCCTCGTTGTGCGTTCGTTCGTGTCGTGCCTGTTCGCCAACCACGTTTCCGCTCGCGTGTGTCCAGTGTGCAGAAGTGTATGGATGCCACGGCGGAAGCAACGCAGTCGAGATTGCAGGGACGTTCCTCCTGGCCGGTTAACTCTTAGGTAAGTCGATTCAC